CAATGAAACCCAGTAGCTGGGTTCAATGACAGAGAATTCCAAATTCTCTGGTTCATAGACATATTATTTTGTAAGGACTCACCCCACTAGTAGTAGAGACAACCTAACTCGAGTTAGATTGATTTTGCAGAGAAAGATTGATTTTGCAGAGAAAGATTGATTTTGCAGAAAGTGAAGGTGAGAGACCATTCTAAGGTTCACAAATCTTATTGGTGGTTTGCAAGCAACGTGAAAACCATTGAAGGGTCTTTGGTGTAGGAAGAAGATGACATGTCATAAAAAAAAATTCATATCAGCACCTTTTAAAGTTGTTCTTGCTATGTTATCAAAAAAAAATAAATAATGCCACATGGTTGGGTTAACGGCTCAAATTGACAGAAAGACAAACGTTGTGCATTTTTTAGAGTTGAAAGATCAAAAAAGTGCAAAAAATTATTGAGGGACCAAAAATGTGCAACTCACTAAAGTTGAGGGACCAAATTTAACATTTAACCTAAATTGTTCCAACAACATCCAAGTCCCTATGCCCTGCCAAAAGCCTAGTCCATAGATATACGATACTTGGACCAATAAAATTCAGTCACGTGACTCCTTAACTATAAAAAAATACTCCTAAACCACCTCGCGTAAGGAAGTTGCTACTCCCTGTAATTAATTCTTTTGAGAGCTTTTTTATTTTTAATTTTTATTATTAAAATATTATTAATTTAAATATTAAAATAATTAATCATTTAAATACTTTAATAATTATTTTTTTAAATAAATAATTTTAAATTCAAATCACTTAATATATAATTAAAATAAAATAAAATAAAAAAAATAATTATCTCTTGCAATACAATCAAAATAAATATATATATTAAAGTGGTTTTCTCAAAATTACTCTTTGGGTCTATCTTATAAGACACGACAAAATGGTCGACAGGATTGTTCGAATCTGTGCAGGAACGCCAGCGGCGAAGCCATACTGCTTTTCTAAAGGTCTTTCCCCCATAAATTACGGACGAAGTATTATTATATTTTTTCCTTTTACTTTTAAATAGCAAGAATTAGGTATTAAAATCGCAATTGACCTTTCGGATCAACTGACATTCTATTAGTTTGAGATGTATTTTTTTTTTTTTCTATAGACGAGCTTCAAGTCCATATCTTGATAACTTGTTCAAGAAAAAATAAATTAGATATTAAAGTCAAGAGTAGAACAATTCCTTAAATTTGATATGATAATTTTTTGGCAAAACCATAAGTTAAGCCCCTGAACTAACCCCAGAATCGCTAGGAAGCCCCTAGACTTTAATTGGTGCAGTTAAGCCCTTGAACTCTGGGATCAAAGCAATTAAGCCCTTCTTCTTAAGCAATTTATTTTAAAAATTAAAGTCTGGGGGCTTAATAGCATAAGAAGAAGGGCTTAATTGCTTTGATCCCAGAGTTTAAGGGCTTACTGCATCAATTAAAGTCTAGGGGCTTAATAGCGATTCTGGGGTTAGTTCAGGGGCTTAACTTATGGTTTTGCCTAATTTTTTTATCTTATAGTTTTATATAATTTTTATATATTATTAAATAAATATATTTAATATTATAAATTTTATATAAATTAAAAAAATTAATAATTTTAATTATATATCAAGTTATACAAAAACAGACGATAAAAAAATTGTTAAAAAAACATTTCCCATTTGACATTTGTGTGAGGCTTCGTATTGGTACGCGCATACTTGCTGCGCAATTTGAATCTCCTAAATTCAGTATCCACACCTATAACTGTTTAATATTTACTAATTATATAAATAATTTAGTAATCACTTTTCTAAAAGTAAAAAATTTTAAATTTAAATTATATGATATATACATAAAGTAAATATAAAAAATTTTAAATTTAAATTATATAATATATCAATAAGATAAATTAAAAAATAAAAAAATTATTTATTATTATATAATCCATGTGTATGTACACACGCTCTGCCTAACTGAACAAAGTTTAGAGAATTCCTTTTCTTCCTTTATTTCCCTGGGATTGAAAAAAAAGGGTGCCGATTGCAAACCCTCTAATTTCAACTCCTTTAACAAAGTTTGGTCATAAAACCATGCTCGATGGCCAAGAATATTTGGCCAGTTGTTAATTTAATTCCAGAAGGAAACTGTACTGACATCTAATTCAAACATGATTGGGTGAATAATGATAGTTAGGAGCAAATTAATTTTAATTAGGATAAATTCACAATAATCATTTATCATGATATAGGTTTTAATTTATATGAAACCCACACATAATCAACTGTTTAAATAATTTTGTCTTAAAATTTTGTCTCAAAAATCACTTCTCTTTTCGGACATATATACATGGCATGAGCACGAGTTGCTACTAAATTCATGTAATGTTGTCTTACACATGAAATCTTATAATAATCACATAATATTAATTGAATAAATAAATACCAATTTACATGTATTATTAAGTAAAAAAATCAATCATAAAATACTGCAATATAGATTTTGCCCTATCAAAAATTACATGTATTGGCATTTTATAAATGTGAAAAAACCAAATAGGGTGGAAAAATCCCAGAGGAAACAATAATTCCAAACGTGCGAGAATGTCAATGCAAATGCCGGAAATATGCAAAAACTGCCTACTTGTGAGTAGTTGATTATTTATGCATTTTTTTTTTTTCTTAAGTTATAATAGAAGATAATTTTTTTATCTTTCAACTCATTTATTATACAACTTAAACTCAAGACTATCTACTAAAAGAAATTACCACAAAAGTACTTAGATTATTGGCATTTATGTATGCAGATTATCTACTGCCACATCTGCTGTAAACAGTAATCAAGAGGACCTACCTCGCATCATATACTGGTTCTGCCCCCATAATTATTTATTATAGACGAATGAACTTTGCATACCATTCACCAGGGAGACATCTCCATCCACAAGTAGCTAATAGTGAATACAAATTTTCTTGATGCTCCTTTGGTTTAGAATATCAAATTGAAACCTTATTACAATATGGAACTGAAACCCCTCTCAAAGCATCTCAGCTGATCAATTCTTGGAGGCTAACCAGTCAACCAATGCCAGTGCATTACTTATGACCTGTGCACTGTTAATAGCTTGAGTTTTACCCAAGGATTTGATAAGACCTTCCAGGGCTCCGCTGGAGAAACTGTTAAGGCAAGTGTTCACATCAATAAGGACCACACTGATCCAAGTCAAGAAGTTGCTGATGTGTGTGACTGAAACTCCTGCTCCTTGGCAATGGCATCACCCATCTGTTTCATCTCTTGAACTGACTTGCTCAAACTGTCAATACTGTCACCCAAATCATCAATGCAATTCTCGATGGCATCAAATTCTCTAGGCTTGAGTCCCCTGAACTTTGTCACCTCAGACATGAATGCCTTGGTGGATTGAGACTCGACTAGCCCCACTGATAAAGCTGTTTCAGCTAGTATGAATGGGCTCTGCTGAATCATAGCAGCATAAAATGAGAGAGTCAGGACACACAGTGCTGGATATGGGGTAACACTGCATGAGTCCTCAATGAAGTTTGTTGCAGATTTGGACTTGACAGCAAGGTACATGACAGAGAGCAACAGGAGAAGACTAGAAGTAGCTCTTGCCATGGTTCAAGATAACTAACTTGGATTCTCCAGCTGAGATCTGAGAATGAAAGTTTTGTGCTCTTACTATTTATGAATTAGAAGAAAGGATGATGCTCTCTGCTTACAGTCCATTCCTGCAATGTAAATTAGGTAAGTGCAGAAAAATGGACAATGAATGGTGGTGTTCTGAATGAAAACTAGACACTTCACATAAAATAAGAGTAAGTGCCCTCTCCATATTGCTACCCGCATCCACATAAGATTGATACTTTTTTGAGTTTTTCTTTATCAACAACTTAGCTTTTTGGCAGTGGAGAAAAATGAAATAGTGCATTGTTATTTGTGGAGCCCAACTGTGCGGGAATTAATGGAACTCATGGGTATGGTTCCAGACATGTGAC